AATTCTTTGTAATTGTAGGGATTAACCCAAAATGCAAAAGTTATTGTCTTTGGCGTTACTTCCGTCTGTGCTGTTACCTACCAGTATCCTACATTCACATTACATAGAAGAACATTCAGTTAATAATATCCATATGATCAGATACTGTTAATTAAGCAAAACATTTTCTTATTTGTCAGAGTTCAAAACTTTGAACTTCTGAACAGGATAGTTGACTGCAAACATAAGTTTGTCCGTCCTGTTACTTTCAATTGTCCGTCCTGTTACCGACCGTTTTCTATAGTTCAGATTACATACAAGAATATTCACTTAATTACACCTTATATGTTCAGGTGTAATCAATTGCACATACTTTTTTCGTATTTGTCAGATATTTCAAAATCTTGAAACTCCTGAACGTTATAGTTATCTGCAATCAAAGCCGATTGTCCGTCCTGTTACTTTCAATTGTCCGTCCTGTTACTACGTTGTCTGTCCTGTTACCAGCACTTAAAATAGAAATATACTGATTATTTATTTTTATTTTTCAGAAGAACATATTTGAATTCAAACATATATCATCTAATGAAGCATATGTGTCAAATATATGATGCAATAATCAGGGTATGTTTGTCATATTGGATTTGAATGAATTCAAATGTTTTCATTTGACTCAAATGCTGGACAAATCTGTCCATAAAATAATGTATCCAATCTCTTTTTAATTGTACTCATTGAAATATTAAACAATACATTTAAAAACAAGAACTGACATGATTTGTGTTGAACTTTGAAAAATATTGTTACAGAAAATATAATTGTTAACATGGTAACAGGACAGACATATTTTTCCTATTCAGTGTTAATTAATTATCATAATTAGGACATCATTGATTATTAAGGTGTCATTTTGCTTAACATTATTATTCAGAAGTTACTTTGTGTACTGAGTCAATAAAAAAGGAATTTTACAAAAGACAATTTTGATGTTTTTGCTTAGTTGAAATTCTGACATTTTTTGAGAATGACCCATATGTCCCTCTGGCATCCAGGGGGTTAGTGAGGGTAATCCCCACTGGAAGATTCTTTCGTTTGGAGGGACTATTTCGCCGGTCGTTTTTTTATCGTCTTTTTTACGCTATTGACCTTTTTCAAATTTAATTTTGGTCAATTTTGGACTTATTGTTGTATGAGCGCATTGAATTGTTTTCCCTGAACAGAACAAAACTTAAGCCGACATGTAAATGATGGCAAATATATATCTTCTCTTGGAATGCCAGTAAAACTATATATTTTGTTTGTACTTGTATACATTCAGACCACATGATTCAGTGAATTAAATAACAAATTGCTTTTGAATATATAACATGGATAGACCAACCAGGATCGATATCGATGGAACCAGTTAAATTCACTGCACAATAGAAAATAGTGTTTGATAATACTGAGTGTGTGATCATGTACATGTCCATTGCAGTATTGTACATGGCGTAAATTTTATTAATATGACTAGGCGACAATGTTAACTGTGATATATCCTTACTTGTCATCGATATATTGACATCGGACAATGAAAGACAATTCGATATTCTAATTCTATAAGTAACTTCGTCATGGGAATGTGCCAGAGTCAGTGGACTAACATTTAGTCCCAGAAATATATAATTAAAAAGCAACTAAATAGAATCCAAATGGAGGGCAAAACAATTCTTGATTTCAGGGCCAGAACTGAGAGAATCTTGACTTGCCAAATCAGTCTTGACTTTAGTTAGAGTCCTTTTCAAATTTATTCTCAAGGGTCTGGGAGACAGACTACGGTGTGAGTAACGCATGGAGAACTGACTAGTGGAGGGAATCCCGCTGGGGTCAGCCTGGGCCATTGTAATCGGTATTCTTCCATCAGCAACACGTCCCATTTGTCACACGCCTTAAAACAACATAGGTCGTGGCTGAAGGCACTGACTGGTCTACCCTATGTTACCTAAGTATTAGAATGGAGAGATCCAAAAAAAGTAGAAAAGTAATCTTGTACTTTACTTAAGTACTTTCACGAATGCTAGATACACCCCGATATATATATATATATATATATATATATATATATATATATATATATATATATATAATAAAATAATAAAGTCCACGTTAGTCCATCATCTTCTTTATATCAGTTTCATACATAGTACTTTCGCTGTCTCATGACAGCTCTTCAGTGTAACTGACATATACATATAATGACGTCATACTTATGATGACGTCATAAATTACAACTGTGACGTCACAATGTATTTACACTCCAGGGCCCGTATTTATAAAAACTCTTAGAGTTGGAAATTTACTCCTAACTGCCAAAACTCCTAAGAGTTCACTCCTAACTCCTAAAAGTTACTCCTAACTCCTAAGAGTTACTCCTAACTCCTAAAAGTTACTCCTATCTTTAGGAGTGGTCATTGGCACTCTTATCTACTCAGCTAAACTCTTAGAGTTCCAATATGGCCGCCGCCGTGCAGCTGCGACATCGTAGAAATCGTATATTTCGAGCTCGAAAAGATGTGTTAAATGACCTTACTGATTATGAACTTATTGAAAGATACAGACTCAATCGTGCCGGCATACATTTTGTGACAAATCTTGTAAGGAATCAGTTGCAAAGCCCTACGAAACGAAATATGTCGCTAGACGCTGAACTGAAAGTAATCATTACTTTGCGATACTTGGCGACAGGTAAGATGCAGCTTTGCAATGGCGACGATCTGGGGATAAGTCAACCAACTGTCAGTCGTGTCATAAATCAGACCTTAAATGCACTCGTGATTCCGGCCATCTTACATCGCTTCATTTCTATGCCCTCCAATGCGGCCGACCTCAATCGAACGCAGGTGCAATTTCAAGCAATTGGTGGATTTCCGGGTGTGATCGGAGTAATTGATGGGACACACGTTAGGATTATAGCTCCACATGTAAATGAGCCAGAATATGTTTGTCGCAAGGGATTTCATAGCATTAACGTTCAGGTCGTCATGGACGCGAATTACAAAATACTAAACATCGTGGCAAAGTGGCCCGGGTCAGTACATGATTCCAGGATTTGGAATAATTCCAATTTGAGACATGCGTTTCTGAATAATCAGTTTCCGCACGGTTGTCACCTGCTCGGGGACAGCGGTTATCCCTGCCGGCCACATCTATTAACGCCCTACCTGCGGCCTCAACCCGGACAACAAACAAATTACAACAGGTAAAAAAAATCAAAACAAAAGGATATCGTCACCGAAGGAATGCCGGGAACACAAATGAGAGTAGTGTCCCCTTATCACTTTAAATATTTTACAGAAGCTTCACATCTTTGGTGGACTTGATAGTAATGTAATAAAGTATCTAGGCCCTAGTTTTCAAATTATTTTGGAATTAATTAAGCTGACTAATGATACGGAAAGTATGTGCTTAACATTTAAATATTACATAAGGAGATTGGAGTCATTATCAATATTCCATCTTTTCTAATTGCAACATCTAATTTATATATAAATATGTATTTAACCAAGGGAGTTAATGCACCTGTCATTAATTTGAGCATGAAGAAGTGAACAGCAACAACTTGTGCTGTTTATCACTAGGTTACTAATACACAGAACATATTCAGTAATTAATAGGCATATTGAGGGTTTCTTTACATCCAATTATTTTCTAAATATGCTATTATGCCTATGAATTAATTAATTGTTTTAAAGCAGTTACTTCATAAGAATTCCTACCATTTACATCATGTTCAAGATCACACAAGATCACAAGAAGTTTAGTGGAGCGTGGAATAGGACAAATGAAGAGACGGTTTCATGTACTGCACAGTGAGGTCCGCTTGGAACCGATAAAAGTCTGCAAAGTTATTGTGGTGAGAAATTATTATTTCCCCATTTCAATATTTTTCATTTTCTGTTCTTTTAATTATTTAAGTAGTCATGTACTTGTTCTGATAGATAAAACTTTAAGGTCATTCATTGTTTGTTCATGATTTTGACATTGGGATATGAAATGTTATTCAATGTAACATTTTCTTACATGTCTTTTTTATACAGGCTTGTGCTATCTTGCACAATATTTGCAAGAATTTGAATGTCCCAATGAATGCTGGTGATGGAGGAGCTAATAACAATGGTGGCAATGGTGGCAATATTCACCAAGGTCCAGTTGCAGCTGATGGAATTAGATACCGCCAACAAATCACCCAACAGTACTTTTAGGTTAGTGTAAAGTATCCATGATCATAATAAAATTTTGATTTGAAGGTTTTAAAATATATTATCTTGATATTCATATAAAGACATGAAGTAACAATTAATTCATATCAACATTTCAAATAATATTGATAATTTAAATAATATTATATTTGCTTTCAAATTTCAGAAAGCCTGATCATTGATGACTATCTCTGTGTATTGTGACAATGATTATGGGACAGAAATGTAAGTTATTTAAAAAAATTAAAACCTTTCGTTACATGTGATTATGGATGTAATAATAAAATATTTTCAAATATTAATGACAACATTTAGAAAAGAGAAATGTAAGTTGAAAACATGTAAATTTGCTGATTTAAATTAAATTTTCAAGTTTTATTGAAAACAGAGACAAGACTATTTTCAAGTAAATACACCTTGTTTAGATATTGAGACCATTTGATTCACTTCAGATGGAAACAACATTGATATGGTGAGCTACTTGTACCATTAACGGGATGAGGAAAAGATGAACCAACACAAAGGCAAGTTGATAAAGATTTTAATTAAGTTACAATCACACATACTTTTGGTTATAATAAATAGAATGTACAATGTCTTTCTCTAGTTCCTTTTACAAATAATTCAGTCAGAAAATACATTTCAGTTAATTAATTTTGAAAAAATTGATTTCAGTAACAAAAAGCAGTGAAAAAGGAGCATGATTTTACTAACATTCATATATATATACTATATACATTTTTTGTAGATATATAGAACAATCTCAGCCAAATACAATATCAGTTATTTGCTTTTTAATTTCTTTATCTTGAGACTGTAATACTCCTTCTGGAGTTCAAGCACTTCAATTTGTAATCTCTCTCTCTTTTCCCTTATAGAGACTTCTGAAGGTGTGTGAAATTCCAGAGGAATTAAGTCATCCAGCACATAGCTGCTGGTGTGGCTGGCGCTGGTGATGGCCGAGGGTGTGATGTTGATGGGGTTCTGGTATGACTCCGGAGCACTGAAACAAATATGATAGTGTGTGTTGATGTATCATTTAAAGTGGGGAATCCTTTTGTGTGAATAGATTATTTTGTATGTAAAACTGTTGACACTTTTTGTTTATATTAACTAAGTACATTCATTAATTTGAGATTGCTTGTCATAACAATGATAGTTCAATGACAGTTCTTATATTGACCAAATATATTGAACACATTTTTAATTGTGAATTGTGAATAGCAGTATAGTACATGTTTCTTATGTAGGGTACCTTGTTGTACTGGCATGTTCAGGGAATGAATCAAAGCCATCCAATCCACTTATGGTAGTGTTATCACGTCCCAGGATGTTTTGAACAACCTCGGCAACTGTCGACAATTCAGGTCCAGCTGGACCACCACCTGTAAATAATTAAATGAATTTTGTCATTCTTTCATATCTCATCAATTGAACTTTGTATCCTATTTCCTCTGTTGATTTTGTATATGTACAGTGTGTAAATCTATATCTGTTGTTATAGTCATCAATATACCCAAGTTATTCAAATTTGATACTGTTTTAAATTTTATATCATGATATATATGCTAAAGTTATTCTTCATCCATTTGGATGTAGTATTTATGCAGCATGTTTATATTATTCTGGAATCAAATAGGAATGTCATTCTTCACATTATGTATATGAAATAAATGAAATTTTAATAACAAAATAAATTGTAAATAATTTTCCTTAGGCATCATCATCAATTTATGTACATGGATTATGGGTTATTTCCATCCAAAACCTTAAAAGCAGTAAAAGAAAAAAAGAAAACAATTTTGATTTTGATGGGAGAGTATAAATACATAGATTCAGATCCATTTTTCATTTTATGGCAACATCTTTTACTAATAGAAATTCATAGCAAAATTTTAACTTCTAGTAAACAATTCATACATTTTTTCCAAAGTGATAGGGGATTCTGTAATCCAAGGAATTAAATTGCTGTAGCCTTCTACAGTCAAGTCCAGTTAATCCGACATTGTTGGTGGCATATGATCGAAAATTGGACAACTACACGATAGATAACGATTCAAACATGTTGTAATAAAAAAGGAAATATTCCTATTGTTGTTGTTGGGAATTGAAACAGTTTTTTGTATTTCAAGGCTGTTTTACCAAGTTTGAATTTACCGGGTTTGGGTTTGTGCCAGACTTTTCACCAAGTTTCAATTTCTCGGTTTTGGTTTGTGCTGTTTAGGATTTTGGCCACTATTTTGGAAACCACGTTTTGTTTGGAAGTTGATAGCTGCGGTTATCGACAAACTTTGACTTTTGTGGGGATTTGAGGCACCAAAATGTTGTGAGTATGAACGGAGAATACTTTGTTTGTAGCCAATAAATAATATTCTGCGGTTTACATGTTGTAAGAAGGTAAATTTTGTATATTTTATCGGCGAAAGATCTGTATCGTAAGTGCTTAAAATCCGGAAAATCCCACTATAATATCTATTCTATGTAAACAATGCTGTCTGTATTATGGTGTAACAATATGGTATTTTCATGCTATTTTCACATTTATGTATTATTTCTTTTGTAGATTAATTTAATTTGGTTTGAATTTTATACTTATTAGGCTTTGTTTATTTTATTACAGCTTGTACGTACCAGTCAATGTACCAGTTTCAGTCATTCAGTCAAAGTCAACTTTGTAAACCAGTGAACATTATGACAATCGGTCTGTCAGTCAAGTTTGTACAGTCAAGACAGTCGGTCAACCACAATATGTTGTCAAGGTTGAATTGGTCAACCAAACTGTTTGAATGATGATTTGGAGAAATGTGAAAATTGTGACATTTGTCCTTCTGTCTACGTCAGTTGGAATTGTGACATGGTTTGAAAAATGTGTTTAACAGCTGCGGTTGTTGAATAAATGACTGCGTACAGAAATATTGCCTTAAATTTCATTCCCTACAACAGTTGTGTTTCATTGTTCGCGGAATATGATTTCTAATCATGCAACCTCTAAAGTTTAACACAAAACATGAAGTTTATCTCTGCAGCCGTTTAAATATGCAGCTACTCGCCGACTCGTCTCACATCAAAACACGGGTCTGTGTGTCGGATTTACGAGACTGATTAATGAGTGATTTCAGCAAATCGTTGCAAATTAGGTGTGTTTTGGAGCCGGAGTGCGAAACTGTCGGATTAACGGGTCTAAACAGCACTGATTCATCGGTTCCCATCATTTGTGTCGGATAAAGCCGATTGTCGGATAAACGAGACTTGACTGTATTATTAATTTATTATTGCAATTACATTTTTACTATAAAAATGAATTATTTTTACCTGTACCAGTGAGCTGTTTTCTCTTGGTGGCTATCTCCTCTCTACTGTTTGACTGGAGAAGCCACCACTTCTTCATAATGTCATCGGTGGTTCTTCGGTTCTCCAAAGATCTGCTAGGATGTGCACTATTAATTTGGTTAGTTATATCCTCCCAACATTTCTTCTTATGATCTGAAGTAAGGTTGGGCCCAAATTTCCCCTTAATTGTAGCCTTGTTTGCTTCTATTTGTTGCACCAGCAAAAGACATTCTTCTTTTGACCAATTCGGTTTTCGGCCCATTTTGCCTTTTGTTCGTCTGCTGTGAGATTTTACGAACGCTTCTTCTGGCAAAGTGCCAAATAATATTTTATTAAATTTTATTAAAATTAATGAAATACCGATACAACAAGTAAATAGAATCATAAGAAATAAACATATATTTAGTTAACATTGGAAAAAATCACTGTTGACAATTCAGTGTCACCGGGAATTACCCAGATCGTCCGGATTTTAGGCAAAAATTACACTTCCGTTACTAAAAATAACTTGGGAATTCCCTAGTTACGAGATAGGAGTTGCTCTAAGAGTTTTCCTATACGTTAAGAGTTCGTTGACTCTTAGGAGAACTTTTAGAGTAACTCTTAGGAGTTAGAAGTAACTTTTAGGAGTTAGGAGTAACTCTTAGAGAAACTCTGAGAGTTTTTATGAATACCGGCCCAGCGATATATATACTGCAGAAAAGTAAACTTGTACTTTATTTATGTGAAGTATATACACACAAAGACATAACATGTAAAAATATATATAAACATTCTTTATTAGCACTGGTAGTAGCACTGGTTAATTAATTGAATTGAATAGTCTTTGTGTACTCCAACCCTGCATAGAAGCCTGCAGCAAAGTCGGTGAAGAACATGTTCCCTTCAAACAGACACCGGCATATTTTGTATTTCAAACATGGTATATTAACATGGTCCCAGCTGGCAAACACGAGTTGTAAGAACTCAGTGTTTTGGCCTAACTTCATATATTCATCGGAGGCAACAACTTCTTTGTGCAAACAACTGCGTCATCACTGATTTTCAGCGATCCATTAATATATTTTACGGCTATTGTTATCGTTAACGCAAAACGGAATTTGTTTCGTTGGAAAATTGAAATTGGTTATTCTTTAGCATTGATGTTTCATATTTCTATTGTTGTTTTTGACATGAGTATTGGTTGATAACAACATCTAGTGTCACGTGACAACAAATAATATTTGTATGCCTGAAGTGTCTGGATTTTCTTTTGTTGTGGCTATTTGATATTGACCGGGCCACACATTTCAGCAAGAGGTAAGCAAGTGTGTTTTAATAATATTTTATTCAGGAAACAATAGTTAGAATTTGTTTCCCGAACAGACTAAATTTTCCCTTTAAAATAACACGTGTTTTAACACACAAAAATGTTAAACAAACACAAGTTTGTTTCTACCGTTATACTTGCCCATGTAGCCGTCGTATACATGTAAAATATATAAATGTTGTGTACGGTCATGTGTGGAATTGAATACAATATTGAAATAAGGAACGTGTTCATAAGGCGAGACATTTCAAAACAATGTACAATATAAGGTGTTGAAGATCTTCTTTGGTTGACTACAAAATACAGTTTTTACACGTGCACATACCTTAGGGACATCATAAATTATATATATTTCCTAATGTTTTCTTATCTTTAAATACCCACAACGAATTCAATCAACATCCGAGGAATACAATTTTCGTAGTTAAAATTATAAATCTACTCAATAGAATCCAAATGGAGCCCAGAACAAATCCGGGGAGAACTTCACCGTTGTTGTTGTGTAGACAGGCTCTTGTGATCCGTGCTGCATGCGGTCGAGCATTGTCCTGCTGGAATACACCGTTGCCGTTGGCTGCAATTGGGAGGACGAGTGGTAGGAGAATTTCGTTGATGTATCGTTGATGTAAGATTGCCCTGGATATGGACCAAACCTGTCCTGCCATGATGAGAGATATCCACCCACATCATAACGCTACCCCCATAAAACCTGTCCACTTCCTGTCCGCAGTTTCCGGCGTAACGTTCTCTCCGACGTCTGTAGACCCGTGCTCTTCCATCCCCTCGACGGAGGAGAAATCTTGATTCGTCGCTGAACCAGACCTCCCTCCATTGCAGTTGAGGCCATACATGTGTTGACGACACCATTGCAGTCGTTGTTGACGATGTTGTCGACTCAATATGACACGTAGAACAGGACGACTTGCTTGTAGGCCTGCTGCTCTTAAACGGTTTCGTACGGTCTGGTCGGAGATCTGCGCAGTCCGGGTATTTGGGATGCGTTTGAGGTGGATGTGGTCGTCCTTTCACGTAGGTGGCGCAGTCAGATGTAGCGGTCTTGGGCGGGAGTGGTTGCTCTTGTTCGTCCCGAACTTGGCCGATCACGTGTTGACCCATGCTGTTGAAACCGATCCCGAGCTCTACATTGAAAACCCTGGCTACAGCTGATCGGGATTCCCCTGCCTGCAAGCGGCCTATGACGTTGTTTCTTTGCACTTCTGTTAATCTTGGCACGTTGTTCGACTGTCACTGTTCGATTGAGGCAGATGCCAGGCAATAAAAAAACTTGCATTTTAATACCGTCCATAGTGCTGCTGCACGTGTAGTACGTGCAGCTCCATGGCCTTTTTGTTAATGCACTGGGTGCGTTTTTCCGAATTGTACGTGTTTCCCGACATGTGGTTTGTATGTCCTTGTGATCATTTGATCCAGGAAATTTGTCACTGACACTATTTCACATTAAACCTCTTCATTTTGCACCTCTTGGTCCGCTAATGTTGCTTATATGGCCAAAAATATCCGTATTGCGTTTCTATTTTTGACGAGTATATTTGTATATTATCGTGAATCTGCATTATACGCTGTGGACCATTGACTGTACCATGGGCCGTTGGCCTACACATGCACGAATAAATAAAGACATAATAGCGGTGAGTCTGTAATGGCTGAGTTATGTTTGACATTGATATTTGATATTGACCGGGCCACACATTTCAGCAAGAGGTAGGCTGGTGTAGTTTAAATAATATTTCATTCAGGAAACAATAGTTAAAATTAGTTACCTGAACAGAACATACATATATCTCCCTTTAAAATAGCATACGTTTTAATACACAAAAATGTTTAACAAACAAAAGTTGACGTTTACCGTTATACTTGTTTTCAGGACAGATGCGAATTGTTTTTTAAATAGTCCATGTAGACGCCGTCTACATGTAAAATAGATAAATGTTGTGTTCAGTACTGTGTAGAACTGAATACGATATTGGCAGGGACGTTTCTAAACAATATGCAATATAAGGTGTTGAAGATCTTTTTTAGTAGACAACACAATATAGTTTTGCACATACCGTTAGCTACATCATAAATATTATATATTGTTGTCTTTAAATACCAATATCGAAAATAACTCAACAGACACAAGACACTCTAATAACTTCATAAGGAACTGTTTGTATTTGAATTTATTTTATTTGAAACATGAATACTTTTGACAGATGATATTTGTAACTGTGAGACGGTGTTGGAAATAAGCGAAACGGGGATCAGCAGAAGATTGAAACTAGAGACGTAAAAAAAAAGAAGAAAAAAGAAAGAAAAGAAACTAGACACGGTACTGGGTCTTGGGTAAACACGACATACGTGTGTTGATTTTACGTGTGTAGAGCATCCAGTGTTTAATTATAATATCCTCTGATTTCTGATATTATGCCATCCAGATCAAATAATATATTCGCCTAAAAAAGGACCAGGAGAAACATGACATATTTTATTTCAGAAATAAACGACGAGTGGGAGTTGTTTATCGTACAATAAACACTGCAGGGAGAATAAACAATGAGGGGAGCATCTTTCTTGTATGAGATGCCAACATTATTTAAAAGCCCCTTTTAGGATGATGATAAAATGTAACAGCTTTAAAAATATGTACTCGTATTTAAATAATGATGACTCCCTGAATACAATCCGAACTCGGCAATGACGGACAAGTCCACTTTATACACAGGTGGTATTTCCCACATATTCTCACATTCCTCACGTCGATTACCTGTACGTTTCCTTCAAACACGGATTGTCATATCTCTCCCTCCTTTGGGTTCCGCTTTTATCTGCGTTGTCCAGCTTCATCAATGGGGAACAACTCACTGGACACCCCCCACTAACACCCCCTACTAAAAAATAACGTCGTCCAATATACGACGTTATCAAGTTGCGAGCGTATGTTCGAATCTCCAGAAATAACGTCATAATAGAACAATGTTTTATCGTGAAATAAACCCCACTTCGTTCTTCACTGTTTTTTGCGATTTATCGTGTAGCTATTTTATATATAGGTATACACTGTTGATCTGAAAAAAATGAAAGTTTAATCAAAGTTGCTTTTAACCTAACTGTTTGAGAAATCTGACACTTTTGGAGTAAAACATTCTTTCATATTGTACCGGGCGATTGATGTCACATGTTAATTTATCGCTACTATATATTTGATCACTTCGTCACAACTATCTACCTGATAATGTATCTTGACAATGTTACAATCAACAACTAACTGTTTAGGTAAGAAGCAGGTCTCATGAATATCTGAAACCTTCAGAACTGTATGAGAGAACTGAATATGAGAAGTAGAATACTGACAGTGTTAACATGTAGGGGATTGATTTGAGCCGGCACTTGCCCCACTCCTTTTATGATCGGGGGCACGGGTGGCTCAGTCGTTTAAGGCGCCGTGATTCGCTGTGTAGAGTTGCGTCCCTTTGGCACACCAGAAACTTATGATTGTGGGTTCGCTTCCCGGTTCGCCCCGATTATGTTTCTAGGTTTGTCAGCACCATACCCATGCTCGTGGGTTTCACCGAAGTGATAAACGTCTGAGAGCTTCATCACTTCGGGCTTTCCTTCCACATTAAGCTGACACGCCGCGATATAACTGGAATACTGTTAAAAGCTGCGTTAAACAAAACTCACTCACTCTTACGTAAATCGGTGGAATAAAACTTTAGCGTAAGCATGTTGTTTTCATGTAGACTTACTCCTATAACTGGAAGTATATCTATTTATCCTTGCTTAATATGTATCATCCGTTCTATTTACAGAGATGTTAACAACAGGGAGGGGAAAAGTCACATACAAATCTTCTCCCCCCCCCCCCCCCCCCCCCCCACACACACACACACACACCCCCCACACACACCCCACCACACCCCACCCCTACCCCAACCCCTTCCCTAAAAGAAGAAAACATACCAACTAAAAAAAGGGCGTCATACAGCTGGAATATTGC